CTTTATCTGCAGTCGTTACCACCCGCCAATCCGCACTGTTACGGATGTTTAATATGTATTTCTATATAAATATACTTATATGTATATGTACTGTATACAACGATATTAAATACCCTAGATACACCTTCACGAACAAAATCGTGCCCGAAACCTGTCCAAAAGGTACATTGAACGATCCACGGAGCTCCGTAAGATGATCGCGTAGTCAAAATCAATATAAGGCATTATTTAAATATTGAAAGTAACCTTTAATACATACTGTATAAGGTCTTAAATAAAACACATGCGTCAAGGACTTCTGACATGTCGAAATGCAAGCTCGTAAAATTTTATGAATTATTGCTGTATGCGGAAGAATTTAGGCCTTAGTTCTTTGACCCTACAGGAACTGACTGCGAGGAAAAGAGACGACTATATGGCGACGTGTAACCGACCATGCATTTGAATATCACAAATATTTTATACTAAATCAGTTTATAGTAAGTATTACATCAAAATTTACTTCAAATACGTTAAATTAACGCATTTGAAGTAATTAATAAACATTGACTAGATACCTGTCCAAAAAACGACACTTTTCGTACTCTAAGTATTATTTTCGCATTTTTTCGCGGAACTCTGTGGCATCTTGACTTTGTAACGGTCCGCGCGTGACTGTGAACCAAGAAGTGGACACATTTTGAGCGCTCGTGGTGTATCTAGGGTATTTAATATCGTTGACTGTATATGTATTCTATCCGTTACTCTAGTATCCCATAACACAAGCCTTACAACGTTTACTTTAGTGCTAAGCTAATTGGTATGAGTGTTGGAAATAAGATGAGATAAAAACTCTTTATTGCACAACACAGTAAGCAGATACAAAACAAGTAGAAAAATACAACATTGCACAAAGGGTGGTCTTATCGCTAATAAGCGATTTCTTCCAGACAACCCAATGAGCTGGAAATTAAATAAGGTAAGCGAGTAAAGGAGGTTGTGCGGAATACAAGGCAAAAGTTTTCCTGATAATTAGATAAGAAGAAGACGAAAGGAAAAAAAAGATAAAAAAATCAATAGAATAAGATTTAAATCTAAAGAAAAGTTTACTAGAAAAAAATCCACGCGGACCAGGCAGCGGACGGGACTCGAACCCGCATCCTTCGCTATCCGGGCGAATGCACTGACCATTATGCTACCACAGCCCTATTCGCCGCGTCGAAATTTTTCTAGCCTTAAGCTTTTCTTTAGATTTAAACATCAAGCAGTTAAATGCTTAAAAAATAAATAAAAACATAAGAATAAGATTTATTTATTATTATTTCGTAGGCGCGGCTGAACGACGGCGGTATCACGGGCGCCTCCCCCGTAGCGGGTTGGGTCCGCGGCTGGTCGCTTGTGCTGCACGGCACGCGCGCGCCGCCGTACGCGCAGCTGCAGGCGCAGGACCCGCACTCCAAGCTCGCCGTCGTCAAGAAGGCGCATGAGGACAACGCGCGCGCGGAATAAAACCCCTCCGCTACCCCTACCCCTAACTAAACTACCGCCCAAACATGCACTCAGAGACGGCAGTTCAGTTTGAGATAGCAGCAGTCAGTTTTTTGAAGATAACATTAGAGTCAGTTTTTTAAGTCTGGCAGCATGTACGATTTCCTTTTTAGTAATTACGATTCAGAAACTTGATGCGCGTCCTTTCAAACTAAATGTTCAACGAGGTGCACACTATTATTATTTTTTCTCTGACTAATAAAAAAAAATCGTAACTTCCTCGCTAAGCTCATGGAATTCCGAATCTGAATTCCTGATCATGAAACCGTACATGTGCGCCCAATCTTTATCTGACATCAGGGTCATTCTTTGAGTTACTAGTAACATCGGCGTCACTTTTTTTGGGATATTGATATATGTAATTAACAGCGCGTGACTTAGTGAAGAATCAAATTTATACATCGTCTCTGAGTGAGTCGGATAAAAAAAACAAACCATTACTACTCATAAACTATACTCAGAGACGCTAGTTTACTTAGATGTTGATTAAGGTTTGCGCTGCCACTTTTCTTTGTAACTTATTTTCCTTAAGATAACATCCCAATCACATTGTTGGAGATATTGATATACATTAGAATGAGACAACGCGTAACTTAGTGACACATCAAATTTATATGACGTCTCTGAGTGAGTCCGATAACCATAGAAAGAGAATGGACTCAGCGTTTCTTAAACAACTCTAAAGGCTGATTTCCACTTCGGTAAGTACAGTAGCGAGTTTAGAAATCGGTTAGTTACACAGTATGTACTTAACTAGCAAATCCTTCGGCACTCGCCAAAACTACAAGTCAACTCACTACTGTACTCATCCAAATGTAAATCAGCCTTAATTTAAAAAAATGGCAGATAAATGTGAGAACGACTAAAGCAATTGGGTACGTGTTTGACTGCTCTATGATCGGAACAGTACCAATATAACTAAGCAGTTTTTATTTTAGCACTCCTTCTATTTAAATCATTATTCTAAGAAACGGCTATTTTTTCTTTGTTTCTATAGAGTTGTCGATTTCATGCAAGTTTCGGTCAGTCCATTCTTTATGTCTATGCTACTTGCACTCCCACCACTCGTCGAACGTGTGCCAAAACCACTAATCGCTTCACCTTAACAAGGCGCGATCCTGGTCAAAACCACAAACACAAAATACACTGAACTTTGATTGTGCTGTAGTGATTAGGTCATCCAGATAAACGTCTCAACTTACACAGCTGAATGTTAAAAGTGGCCACTAAGACACTTCTACATTTAAATGACCTCTGTGTTCGATTGACATTAAAAATTACTAAAACATTGTTATACATGGAATGAATTATAATTTAAAAATATAAATAAACATCTACCGTGTTTTGATAATAAGCATGTTGTAATCTGAAAATCAATTTGATTGATATCGAAACTCATTTTTTATCAACCAATAAATTTCAAATCACTGCAATAATGAAAATATATGTTTTGGCACATGTTTAACTACTACCCTTAGAATCTATATTTCAGTGCGGAACAAATGGACATTTTTAACGTAGCTCAAATTTATTGATAAAGTCTATTATTATTTCAAAGATATAAAAGAAGGAAAGAGATTAAGTGAAATATTGAAACCATTTGTTCTGTTCTGAATATGATATAATTTGCACAAGCTGTAGCTATATATTATTTTATAGTGTCATGTTCTTATAGGTGAATTTACTGATTTTGGAAGGCTTTCTGTTTTTATTATAGCTCTTGTTTAGTATTTAAAAGATGATATAAATGCAAAAGACGTCTATTAATGACAAATGCGAACAGAGCTTCAAAGAACTCTGTTTCAAATTCTTATGCCAAAGTTATAAAAAAATGTATTCTATTTAATCAGCTCTCATCAAAACTTTGATTTTATTTACTGATGCTTTAAATGTAATTGGAATGATTAATGTTGTTTTCGTTTTATGTCACATTTTCATCCTTTCTAATGATGAATGAATCTCTGAACATTTTTAATATGTTCGTTTCTCTGTTACATTGTTTGGTTCTTAAATTATGGATTATATTGCATTTTATTATATGACTGCCAAAACAGTGTATTATTTATATTTAGATTAGACAACAGGGCAGTCCATTTCATAGCATAAAAATACGGTTTTTATTTTGTGCTTTACTATATTTTTCGTCCCTAATAAATATATCAAGTATCTTGTTTGTATTAAAAGATTTTACTAACACTGGTGGATTACATATTAGTGAAATTGTTTTTCTATAATGGACATTCTTTCAGTCCATTTCATAGCATAAAAATACGGTTTTTATTCTGTGCTTTACTATATTTTTCGTACCTAATAAATATATCAAGTATCTTGTTTGTATTAAAAGATTTTACTAACACTGGCGGATTACATATTAGTGAAATTGTTTTTCTATAATGGACATTCTTTTAGTATAGTGGTTCAAGCGAAGCAAAGGTCGGTAATTCGGTTTTTTGGAGAGATTAATCTTGTGTATGCTTCCAATAAACAAAACCATAACCTTAAGTTCACATCATAAACATATGAGAATCGGATTCATCTTTCGATTCCAGTTTTCATTATTTTCATAAGTAGCTCATGAATATTTTACGGTTACTTATACAATTTCATTATATAGCTTTTTAAATTTTTATATTCATGACTTACTATTAAAAGGCGTTCAAATATATGAAACAAAACATGATGCACCATTATTATATCAGTAGTTTCAAAAATATTATATTTATGTTAAATTAAGAAGCTAAAAGCGATCTATATTCTTTATATATAGATTTTGTTCATCTTCTATTATGAATCGAGGCATTATATTTAACATCAAATAGGTACATATCAAATGATGAGACATAACTAGAAATCATTATTTATCATTTTCATCTGATTTGAATGAAGTTGAGCAAAATTTATGATTTTTTTGACAAAAAAAACTTATCTTCTTATCCCCAAGATATTTTTACAAATTATATTAAAAATGATCTGTTAAAAAATTATAATGTGAAAATGGTTACTTTTCGCTTGTTTAAATAAATGCGTAGCTTTATGCTATGCATTCCTTACGAGGTTATTGACCGAGCATCTGGTATTTTATTTGCTACAAACTTGATAAAAAGCATAGTTGTTAAGTATTTATATTCCAAATTATTTATTTTGTATTTATTGTGTCGTTAAAAAACAAAGGGACTTTATTTACCCCAGCTAAATAAAGTTCATTTGTACATTTATGTATTTAAAACATACCCGTACCTTGCGGGTGCATTTTAGAATAATAAAAAAGAATATATATTAGAAAATTATGGTTATGATATAAGATTTATGATATGAAAGTTTATATAATTACACAATTTAAACTTCCTTTTTGGGCCCAGTAAATGAATATGGTTATTTATCAATATTACTAAACAGGCTCTTTATATATATTTTCTTAAACGATTATTTGTTATTAAATACATGTTATTAAAACATTGCGTTTTTCAATTCCGATACTATCCAAACAAAATCATGTATATTATTATTTTCTTAAAAAAATATGGGCATAAACTGTGTAGGTCAAATGGTTAGGATAGTCGTTAAGAAAATACAATCATATAAAACATATAATGTATTATTATTATTATAATTATAGAAAATATAATGTGATTTGGTGTTGTATTTGAATTAAATGACGTTTTTGTAATTGCTGTTCCTTTCCCTTGACATTTTATTACTACTGCTAGTACGTACCTGTTTTGTTAAATTTAACATTACATGGGGAAATAAGACAAGTGCTTATGAATTACAAGCTATATTACAATAGTATTAACAAATGAAAAATAACTTCAAGGAGTGGCAAATAAAGTATATAGAGAGAGCAAATTAATAAATTTTACAAAAAAAAAGCACAATACTAGAGGTTATCTTTTTTATTAACACTATTTACAAACAGAAATGTAAGTACTAGGAATTTCTTTGCAATCAATCTATTTTAATTAAGGCACTTCTTCCTTGTTTCATAACTCGTAAACTCTTTATTACTAATCAAAAACATTTACTTACTACAATAAAATATACAGTTTATGTTGAGTATGTTAGTTCATAACTCATTTACTTATTCGATCCATAGGCATTATGGCTCACGTGTGAATATTATTAAAAGTCATAAATAGTTTACAATATTCAGTTCTAATTATAACAAGTAATTAAGTATCATATTGATAACAAATGCTACCATGAAATTTTTACCACTTTAACGTAAGTCTATTTTTCACTTCCACTTTTTGTCTTTTGATATTCACCATTTGTCTCTGTGTCATATTTATTTACAATGAGGGTGAGCTTAGACACCCATTTCGTTGTATGTTCGGCCATTTTGAACGTCGACACTCCGTTCATTGATCCCGTTGACGCCATTCGTGTGTCCACGGGAACTTAACTGTCAGAGATCTGAAAGAGAAGATAAAAAATATGATTTAGATTAAAATAAAAATATGTTTGTCTACAAATAATATATATTTTATAACGTAATATAGGAAATTTAGAAATTCGTTATTATAATCTCTCGCGTATAATCTCTCTTTTTTTTTAAATCTTACAAGTTATAAAACGGTGCAATAAGAAGATGGTAAATTAAATAGTTATTATTATTATAGTGTTGTAAAAATCAAGTATATAAAATTTTAAATAATGATTACCCATTGTTTCTTGCTGTAATTCTAGTTTGTACGCAGGATTATCATAAGGTGGTAGAGACGACTCACGTGGTGCTGTTGGCACGGCTGCGAATGGTAATACATATTATCATATCATCCATAAAAGTGACAAAAAGCATCATAAGGACAATATTTTTCAAGAATTCAAATCAAAACACTTAAAACTCAATTTCCAAGTCAAATAACAGTCATGTGTTATTAATTTTGCGTAAAAAAATAATAAAAATTAAGTAAAACAGATTTTATAAATTCATCAAAATTAGGGCAAAACCTCTATAGAACTGTAATAGAAATATAGTAGTCTGCTAAATTCAGAATTGAAATACTATACTTTTTCCAGTGCAACAAATTAAATGCAAAGGGAGTGCTGCAACGTTGTAACTTACGAGTGATTGACACTGAACGGGGACGATGCCTACGAACAACCACTAACAGTAGTAGTAATGACGTGAGAGCTCCCAACGCTGCCACAACTCCTACTATTACTAAAGCGCCGTAGTAATCTCCTCGTGAATCTCCTCGGCTGCCGGCTATCGATGCTGATTCTATTTCATCTGGAAAAGAAGTTTTAATATCATCATCAGACAGTGAACAATTTTTTTCAGCGTTGGTAAAGGAATAGATCTTTGAATTGGTTTATATTGTTCTTAATTTTAGGAAGCTTCTGATGACTTGCAAAGCTTCTGATAAATGCTTGAGACACCACAAATCTCCATCCCTATTATATTTTGATGCAGGAAGTTAATCTTACGATAGCAGTACATGTTTCTAAAGAAAAGTTTTACTAGAAAAAAATCCACGAGTCGAGAGAATCCACACGAGATAGCAGTATATCTTAAAAATAGATCTCCTCATCGCGACCTCGACGACAGAAATTCTTGTGAAATGTGGTTTGTATCTTAGCCGAATTTATCACATTTAAAGGTAACTTATATGTACCTAGAAAGAGAAAAAAAACAGCATTATTATACTGTTTTCTGAGCAAACCACTTGGGGTGCATTACCGTACGATGTTTTCAGGTTGAACTATTCTGTGGACTGCAACTCATCTATGGGATACATGATCAAAAAAACTCCGATCTATCCTCGAGGACAATACTACAAGATAATGTTATTTGATAGCAGTCTTCTGAGAGGAGATACAATATTCATAAATCGGAGCTTCAATTTGAAGGGTGAAAATTTTACTGCTCCTTGCAAACTTCAATTATTTTTAGCTAGTAAATATTACTATAAATATTATTATTAGTAGTATTGACTTACTGTCAATGGGTTCAGGTGAGTCTAAAGACTTAGTGTTGATCTCTAGAACGTTGCTAGTCTTCACTTTACCATTCGTGAGGAATAATTCAAGCCAAACTCGGCATCTGTAAGGAAAGGATATAGGATTAGTTTAAATATAGTGAATGGTGAACCTATTCTAGATACCTAGGCAACCTAATCATGCAAAAGCTGCTATATTGAATATTTAAACGAGAAATATAGCTCGTATTTCTGCGTTTTACAAGCGTTGTCAATTGAAAAATGGTGGAATGGTCACGACTAACTTTAACTTATCTCTATAAAACTTTAAAACGATGTAACGGGTGGATGCAATGATAATTATTTATTTATAAATTATTCAGCAGGTTGCGTGTAATATAAAACAAATAAAATTAACTATATTTTTTAAGCATGTAACTGCTCGATGTTTAAATCCGAAGAAAATATAATATTATTACAAAAAAATCTTCTTAGGTCCGTTATATTTTCTTTAGATTTAAATAAAAATAAGATCTTTGCTAGTAGTTACAACGTCACTCTATTGCATTATTTACTGCGACATGAATTGAGCTAGTTAGCGCAACTGAAGATTCACAGGTGCCATTAAGTTTGAATCGTGTTATAATAATAATAATATTAATAAACATTTATTTCAGGCCCATAAAACTTACAAAAATAGAAAAACAATAGATAATAACATTAAATAAACACAATAGTATCAATAAAATATATAAATTACAAATTATAACTACCTGGTGTTGGACTGGAGGCTGCTGAGCGTAGTAGCGATAGGCAAATGGCGCGTGGAAAGCCGAAACACATAACGTTCCTGCGAGTGCGGGTGGAGTGCATAACACAGAAAAAAATATGTTCTGTGGGGCGGAGGCTTGTAAGTATATTCTAAAATGAATATGTTGCAAATATACCTAGTGTCTAGTTGCAAGTCGGCGAGTGTAACAGCGGGCGGCAGATCCCTCGTAACTAGTCGGAACTCACCATGGTCCCTACGAGTGCGTTGGAAGCTAGTATGTTCTAAAATAAATGAGTCACAAACATAATGGTGTCGGGCCGGAGACCAGAGAGTGTGACGGCAGACGGCAGATTTCGCGTAGCTAGCCGGGACTTACGATCCCTACGAGCGGGTGCAGGCGGAAGCTATTATATTCTAAAATGACCAAAGTACAAACATATCTAGTATCGAGCTGGAGACCAGTAAGTGTCACAACAGGTGGTAGGTCCTCGTAACTAGCCGTAACTTGTCACGTTCCCTACGAGCAGGGAAAGACACAAGCGCGGGTCCAGCAGCACTGGCAACAATGCACGGAAGCTAGTTCTTTAATAAAAGAATGTCTATACATATAAAACTCAAAGGGGACTGACTGACATAGTGATCTATCAACGCACAGCCCAAACCACTGGTCGGGCTGAAATTTGGCATGCCGGTAGATGTTATGACGTAGGCATCCGCTAAGAAAGGATTTTGATCAATTCTACCCCCAAGGGGATAAAATAGGGAATGAAACTTTGTATGAAACTTTGTCCATTTTAAACCGATCGGGCTGAGACTTTGCATGCAGGTATAAGAAGAACCATAGATGAATGTCATTGTGTATAATACAAGTCTGAGAACAAAAACTGTAGTCTACACTTCAGCTCTACACCGAAGCGAAGCGAGGGCGGGCCGCTAGTTCTAAAATAAAAGAGCTACTACTAACCTAGTATCTGGCTGAAGGCCTGTTAGCGTCACGGCCGGTGGTAGATCGCGCGTTGCTAGCCGGAACTCGTCATGCTCCCTACGAGCGGGTGCGGGTGGAGACACGGGCCCGGCGCCTGGGGCGGGCGCGGGCGCGGGTGCTGGTGCGTCCCCGCAGGCGTGCGCGGCGCGGTACACGCGCACCCAGCGCTCCGCGGGCGACGGCACCCCGCGCCACGTCACCTCTGCGGCCTCGGAGCCCACCGCGCGCGCCTCTATGGTCACCGTCCAGTTGTATGGGTCTGGAAATATTCATGAAATAAATAAAATAAATAAATATTTGCAACACCCACACCAATTAGCCTTGCCCCAAAGTAAGCACTGTAAGGCTTATGTTATGGGATGCTAGGGTAACGGATAGAATACATATACTGTACATATATAAGTATATTTATATAGAAACACATATTAAACATCCATGACTGGAGTACAAATGCTCGTATTCATCATACAAACATCTGCCCCCACCGGGATTCGAACCCGGGACCTCGAGAGGTCCCGGGTTCGAATCCCGGCCGACTCGAGAGTCGGCGACACCATGAAACCCGGCGTACAAACCACTCGACCACGAAGGTCGTCAAGTAATAAATATTGAAGAGCTCGATGGCGCAAGTGGTTAGCGCGTTCGGCTGCGGTCGTTGAAGTTAAGCAACTTTCGAAGTGGTCGGTCATTGGATGGGTGAAAAAAATTTTACTATCTCGAGCTCCTCCGTGCTTTTAAAGGCACGTTAAGCCGTTGGTCTCGGCTGTATCTGCAGTCGTTAGCACCCACCAATCCGCACTAGGCCCGCGTGGTGGGTCATGGCCTAGTCTCCCTACTCCATCCATAGGGAAGGCCTGTGCCCCAGCAGTGGGGTCACTAATAGGCTGATGATGATGATGATGATATAAATATTTCCAACAGGGTATTTGACAAGTTTTAGAAAACGATCTCACGTTATTGAATAATGTTTATGGAGTCCGTTAAAAGTGGATATTCAGAATTCTGTTGTGTATTTCAATTACAATAACCATGTCAAAAACTTCATTTTCAAATTGCCGCGAAAATGTTTCTCTGGACAATATGGCGTCTTGTGTTTTGGGTCACGAAAATCTTTTTCGTGATTTTTTAAATGATTATGTAAATTAAAATTGTATGTATTGTAAAATTATGAATATTTTTTTTGTAACAATAGTAAAAAGCCCTGCCAATATTCATTCTAAACACAGGTGCTTACAATTGGCACCTTATTTTTAATATTGTCAAATACCCTATTACATTATTAGAAATAACTTAATGACAATTAAAATATTACAGAATTATTAAGAAAAAAAAATGCGTGAGTGCCGGGAACACTCGGTTGGAACGAAATTAATAGCAGATTGTATACTAAGGGAGCAAAGCACTATTTTAAAGGCGAGAGTTTAAAAAAAATACACTTTATCTCTCACAAGAATGTTCTAAGGCATATTTAGAAACGTTATCTTTTTAGAACTTAAATACGCAACAGAATTATAAAGATCCACTCTTTGAAAAAATAATGATTTGTTACCAATCATATCAATCGAAGATCATGAAAACTACTAAATAATAAAAGATCATTTTCCAAAACTACTATAGGTAGGTATTACATATTTGATCCCCCCTTCCCCTTTCCACCACCGGACGACCAGGCGCAGCGAGGGCTTCCACCCTTATGTTGTCGATGTTCCTCCCTTTCGCACGAAGCGATTTGCTTCGGCCTTCATTTTGCGAACGGCTAGGGAGTGGAACTCCTTGCCTAGGTCTGTTTTCCCGGACCAATATAATCTGGACATCTTCAAGGCCAGAGTGAACAGGCATCTTCTAGGCAGGTGTGTACCATCCTAGGCCTCATTATCGCTTTCCATCAGGTGAGATTGCGGTCAAACGCATTGCCTATTTTGTATAAAAAAAATGGGTGCGTGTACTTATGTAGGCGCGTGAGAAGTTATCCTTCTTTGGCATCGTTTAAAATTAGTTTTTAATTGCATGCAAATAATTAATTACAATAAATTAATAAAAAGTCTGGAAAAGGATAGTCAACGCAGTCAATAAAGTTGAAAAATTTAATAAATAATCAAAATATTCAATTTAAATCACTACTGAATTTAAGTTATTAGTCCATATCTAATTAGCACTTGTAAGTAACTAAAACACGTTGTGTCTATATAGAAACTAGAAACATGTAGATAAATATTATAAATATGAAAACAGTGATCAGAGGCGACGAGCGTGCCAACATTGTTTTTGACAACGCGATCATCTTATGGAGCTCCGTGGATCGTTCAAAGTACCTTTCGAACAGATGTCTAATAATGGTGGATTATTAGACACTAACATTCATAACGCGCCCGCGGCCAACTTCATGGTGTTACTATTGTGTTACAGTGATGCGCGCGCATCTTAAAATTTCACTCTCATATTTTTTTCATAACGCGGCTAAAGAAGTATAACTTCAATAAAAAAAAAACTTGCTAAATATTTTATTGGTGCATTAATTAATGACGATCGCTCCATTCTGTGTGTGTACGGGGTCACTGACCGTGGGTCGGAGCGGTGGTGAACCGCAGTACGGCGGGGTCGTGTAGTTCTACGACGGAGGCGCCCGGCGGCATCAGCACTAGTGACGCCTCGTAAGCAGTGCCGGCGCGCAATTCCGTGAGCCCGGCGCCGCGACGGCGCGGATGGAGAAGTTCCGTCATGCTGTAGATTGGTGTGCCAACTGGCCTGTATCTGTGTGAAAAGGGAAGCAATATTTTGTAAAGCTGCGTACGGATAACGTGTTCCAGGTCATGCGCAGGCGATTACGCGTGCCTTGGAACGCGCCATCTATACTTATAGCAATTAGAAAAGGGTACGCGAAACTGCAAGTATTTATATGGCATTCCAGAGAACACTGTCTACGTGTACCCTGGAACACACCATCCGTACGCAGTTTAATAGTACAAATAAGGTGCGAGGGCAATGGGATATGATATATTGTAATAGAAGAAAAAAAATTGCCGCCGCAGATACGTAAAAATTGGCATGAGAGAAACCGTTAAACAATATTATTATGATGTCTAGGTCGATGGTTTTTTGAACGAGAATCACTGGACGTTTAACAACTTTGCGTATTGAAAATCAGACCGTTGAAGGTGACTGAACAAGGCTCAGCCACTTTATTCAAATTTACTTAGTTTAATTGTGTTTTTACACTCCGGTGCATTGGGAGAAGCAGTAGTCACTGTAGTCAGCGAAGTAAACCTACAACTTCATCAATATGTAAATGTACTAAATTACTATTCAACTAAATATCAATTCAACAACTTCGCAAACTATCGAGATCTAGGCATCCAATCGCCTGGTTAAAATAAAATTGCTGAGACATACAGAGTATAAAATACACATGCATCTCTTCCTCTCTATTCATTTTGTGCTCATAAAACCTATACCGCCTTATTCCAAAACGCGGACTATACTTAGTCATGGTTTAAACCCAATGTTGTCCCTATCTTCTTTTTAGCAAGCAAAAGTGACAGCATCCAGATTTAGTCCAGGTTTAACTTTAGTCTACTTTAAGTAATAAAGCGGTCAGACATTAAATCAATTAAGTCTAATTGCCTACTCCGTTTTCTGTGAAGATGGTGAATACTACATACAAACACGAGGAATCAACCAGATCAAAACCTTTATAACATAATCTTGTACTAACCTGACTTGTATTCCGTCAATGTACTGCAACTCCTCGTCGGTGAAGTGTCTCCAGGTGACGTGGGCGCTGGTGTCGTTGACATCCACTACTGTCAGTCTGCTGTCGATCTCCCTGCGCTTTTCTTCTATCGGCGCCACCTGAGACACGATAAGGTTTTTGATAAAAAAAGGATAACAGAACCTTGGTGGCGTAATTGGCTTGATTGTGAAAGTTAAGCAATTTCCGCAGGTTTGTTAATCAAATTCTTCTTCTTCTTCCAGTGCCTCTTCAATCCTGAAGGTTGGCCGTTAGCTTTCTGTATGTAGTTCTGTCAGCAGCCAGCCGGAACAGCTGTTCGACGGAGGCAATACCGGTCCACTCCCGGATATTCCGGAGCCATGACTTTTTTCTTCGCCCAGCACGTCTCTTTCCGTCCACTTTGCCCATCATTATCAACTGGAGCAGCATGTATCTGTTGTTCCTGAGCACGTGGCCAAGATATTCTATCTTGCGCTTTTTGATAGAAGGCAACATTTTCCGGGACATATGAACGCGCTGAAGCACGGTTTCGTTCCTGACCCTCTGCGTCCAACTAATGAAGATAATCAAATGGAAGATCAAAAATCTCAAACTTCTCCGTGTTTTAGAAGTTACGTGAACCCGTTGGCACTCGTTGCACCCTGTGTCATTAGATGATGATAATGTCCGGGTCACTAGTGTAGGAAGGCCAAAAAGGAAGATCTTCCACCGAACTGGGTGATGGTAGCACGGAAACCGCGACCGGACTTTTTTTTTTAGTGTGTATGCTGTTGGTAGCAGATGACCTTTACAGCGTCACCGGGTTTGGGGACGGCGAGATCCTAAGGGGACCTCAAGCCGAGAATTGGCGAGTGCCTCTAGAGGTATTCCAGGCGGATGGCATCTCCCCACAGAGGGAGTCTCCTCTCCGTCTGCAGCCTCTAGACCAGTCGAACCTCAGGGTGTCCCGGCTCAACTAGAGGGCGTCTCTGAGACTCGGACTGTTGTCGTGGAACCGGGGAAAAACGCCCAGGTACGTACCTGGTATAGCGTGTCATGTGTAGACCTAGTCTTCGCACTCTTATCCTACGGGTGCGGTGTCTGCCTAATGCTAAGCTAGTGTGCAAGTATGCTAGCTGTGTAGCGTAGGAGTTTGTGGCCTGTGTGGGAGGAGTTGGAACGACCACACTGATGTTGGTCGAGCTTTATATATATACAGTGTTAGCCTCCGAATTTCACTTGCGCGATGTAGGCTTCCATACGTTAAGCGTACGTTGTGAGCGCAATGCCGGTATTGCCATCTCTTGAGGAGGCAAATGATTATTTCCTCCATGTTGGTTATAATATGTGTGGCATATAGATATAGCCGCAACAGTACCTACTTGGTAATCTTCCATTGATCATATGGATCCCGTATAGTGGTGTCTCTGTTATTCTATTTATAAATAAGGCCCGTGTCTCAACAGTTGGGGCATTAATAGGCTGTTTATGGTGATTCTTTACCGTTAAGAATCTAAAGGTGATCTGACTTGTAGTATGTCTTTGCGAACAGCTAAAAATGGGCAAATACTAAGATAATTATATCGTGACAAGCCCAAAAGATAAGTAAAATTAGCAATAAAATAATATTGCGACTATAAATTGAGATGTAAGCTATCCTATCTTTCAAGTTGGATCAAACTGCACACGGTGCAGTGCAAATTTGATTAAAATCGGTAAAGCAGTTTAGGAGTCCATCTTGGACAAGCAACGTGACGCGTAATTTACATATATTAATATTTAGACATCAGCTGTGTGGAAAAAAATGTTTCCCATACCTACTTTATCCCTTATTTCACCCCCTTTATAATATTACTATTGGGTTCCCCCGACTTCATCTGCTTGGGAAAAATGGTTTCCCTTATAAACCTCCATCCCCTGTTCCCTCTTCCCGCCCCCTTAAAGGGTTATTTCTATGATCAAAACTACTCCCATGTCCTTTCCCGTGACTCAAAGTATCACTATATCAAATTTCATCTAAATCGGTTCAGCAGTTATAAGCATTTAACTGCTTCACCACCACCACCACGACAAAAAAACACAGCGCGGACCAGGCAGCAGACGGGACCCGCATCCTTCGCTTTAAGTAATTGACGATCATTGAAAATAATGAAATAAGGTCAGTTAGTAAAATGATGAGCGGGCAATATGTACGTAGCTTGCTCTTACATTAGTATTTATAGTTAGGTTAGGTTACTTACAATTGGCGAAACGGCGGTGGAGCGCTCTCATTGCCAAGCATGGCTCGAACCTTACTTGGCAATGAAATGAAGAGCATGGAAGGCTGCCGCCTCCTTCTTCGAGGTGGTGACGGGGCAGAAAGAGGCAGCGGAGGGAGCGGGAGAAGGACGCTCTGGCCGCTCCCCTCCGGCGTAGACGGGTGGGCCGAAGAAGGCAGTCTTCGTCTGCCCTAAGGTGGTCTGGGCGCGGCATGCCAGCCGCGCGTCCTTGGTGCCAGTCGGCATAGGCCACCCCGTCTGGGGATTACCTAGTACCCTAGAGTAATCCCCCATAGGCGCGTTGCCCGGTCCACTCGCTGGGCCGCTCTGGTGTAGTGGCGCACGTAGGTGCGCCGATCCCAGAGCGCCCTCATAAGGGCCGAGGAGGGTACCGGTGGTTTTTAGTGGGTAGGACCGGCGTTGTTCCACGCCGGGGAGTCCCACACACGTCGCGCGCCTGGCAAGCGCGCGCTATGGTGCGAAAATGCATTTTCCACCGTCAACAAAAAAAAAGAAGTTTACTTACAGTAGGCAAGTCCTGCGTTCGGACAGTGTACACTTCGCTCTCGGGCTCAACGGGGAGGTTGTGCAGGTAGAGTTTGCCACGCACTTTGTACGTGGTGGAGGGTTTTAGTCCCGTCAGCCGGAATTCGAGGCGTGCCGTGGTGAGCACCTCGTCTGCCGGGGCGAACACTTGCGAATACCATTGAGACACGTCTTCGTCACTGAAAACGTTAGGAATATGAATAATTTCGACTTTCGCACGTTATTCTTGAAACAAATAAAGAAGTTGTACAAGATTTATTAATGAAATATTTCGTTGTCTGCAATTTGTACTTAATTTTCTCCCATCATTTGCAACGAGCTTTAAATATTACATAAAAGTTATAGAATATCCACTTTTTTGGATGTACTGCTTTTATGAATAGGGTATTTGACAGTATTAAAAATAAAGTGCCAATTGTTAGTGTGTCTGTGTTTAGAATGAATATTGACAGGGGTTTTACTAAAAAAAATATTCATAATTTCACTAAAAACCCACGAAAAAGATAATAGTTTTTTTATCTATTTTCACGTGACACAAAACGCTTGGGATTGGCGGAGACTAAAATGACGTCACACGCAAGTATATTTCCGGTTAAAGTGACATTACATTGTATCGTTTGACGTTTTAATAACAGTCGTGTGACGTCACACACTAGTAAGACGCCATATTGCCCAGAGAAACGTTTTCGCAGCAACTTGAAAATTGAGTTTTTGACATGGTTATTTTTATTGAAATACACAACAGAATGATGAATATCCACTTTTTACGGACTCCATAAGCATAAGTCAATAACGTGAGATCGTTTTCTAAAACTTGTCAAATACCCTATTACAAAGGTGAGCAAGAATACGTATTTTTATCATGTTTAACAAGAAGAATATTAAACATCCACTAAAAATTGTGATCTGTCAGCAAATTCTATCAACATAGGTAGTTATGTAACATACTTTTTTTTTCTGTTTTGTTAGACTTTATGAAATTACTCACGCTTTATCTGTATATCTCAGGTCGACGCTTCCTCTTAAGCCAACCAATACAGGTGGCAAACCAAAGAGCATCATCACACTTGTTGGAGAATCCGAATGCAAGGAGATAACTGATAACTTCTTATTGTTGTCTCCAAAGGTAGATGGGCCATGGCCAGTAGGTGATAAACCAGGTGGAAGACCAGGTAAAGTATTAACTGGTCTGTGGATATTATTCTGGTCGTAATCGGAGAGGTCTTCTTGAGGGAAATGAATCTCCGGTGGGATGGTTGGAAGGAAACTGGGCTGTTGTGTATGGGGTGAGTTCGTTGTGAAGTCAGATTCAGGATTTTGACCTGAAAAGTTTACGAGAGCGTTAGAGTCAATTTCTTCCTAACACGTTCATGGGGATTGTTAGTTTTCATTATGAAGAAGCCGACAGATTGTTATTTGATAACATAAAACAGTTAGAAGACAATTAATTACAGCACGCAAGTGAAATGAAATGATTGTTCGTGTTAGTGGTAACAAGAGCCGTCGAAGTCAGTCTATATTATTGAGTACCTATCGAAAGTCAAGTCATAGAGGTAATACAAGTCTATATAAAACAGTAAACAATTGCTAACACAGGCTGACCTGTGACATCGCGACTTTTATCTGCTGACCGTCCGAGATTTCTATTCACTTCAGATTCCACTTCCATCTGGCTCAGGAGATGCTCAAGATCTAAAGTTGAGTACGTTTTCCCAGCAATCCTGGGAGCCTTCGAATTGCGGTCATAAGTAGATTCTATGTCTGTCCTAGCATTTGGGATTGCACGTAATAAAACTGTCTCGTAGGGAGTAGGAGCTTTAGTCAACAAGTGTGCTTTGGCAGTCTCAGTCCACAGCTGATTATTTTCAGCTGTTTTGAGTGAAGTCAAATCTTTATTACGTAGTATCGTGACGTGCTTACTTCGAGAAACTTGTAGAGGTTCCCGGGGCTTGTGATCATTATGCGTTTGCTGAACGCGTTTGATTGAAGATAGTTTATTGGTCTGATTCTTCACAATCGGTTCAAAAAGACTTTGTGACGATTTTAATGCTGCTATGCTAGTGGGTCTGAATTCATCTCCTTGATATGGGATGACATCAGGTTTTCTTTCCATGATAGGGACAAAATAATTGAAATGTTCCATTTCAGATATAGGGACTTTCCTTATTTTCTCCTGAACATTTTTAAAAACAGCGTTAGATGTACCAAAGGGTTTTGTTTCATATAGAGGATGAACTGGTATTTGTTGTATCATATCGTGCATTTTAGAATCAGATGGTACAAAATTGTGGCGATGAGAGTGTGTCTGTAATATTTTATCCGTACGTATAGGTATTCTGGTAGAGTCCAATGGGATCGAGTCATAAGCTTTTGTTGGTAGTAAGTTCAAATTATGAATATTAGACGAAGGGTTAGAATAAACATTATTCGAGGGTGCAATTTCTTCTGATGAAATATGCATACTAGAAATGTTGTCATTTTGTTTATAATGAGAGTTTATTGAGTATTTTGGGATGTCATTAAAAGTCGGTACGGGAGCTTTTAAGAATTTAGGGATTATTTTGATTGGGCTCAAATGTCGATAAAACTCTGATGGATCTGTGGGCATTGGCGGAGTCCGTAATACGGACGTCGTTATTGTCGGTAGAATGGGTGCAATAGGTGTTACATAATTCGCGTTACCCAAAATCGTCATTGTGTAAGTCTTATGAGTCGTCTTGTTGCTGCCAGCTGTAATGAATAATGTAAATGAATGTTACATTGTTTTTATGAATTATAATGTAATGTCGTCAATGAATATGATATTTGCTATGAAATCCATCACCAATATTGTTATTTTGTTAGCGGTAGTGACTTACCCAGTGGTATACAACCCCACTGCTTACAACAGTCATCATCAGAGATATTCACGGGTGCCGGCCGATGCATCGGAGGGCATCGCAACGTCTGCGGAGGCACGGGAGGCAGCGGAGTGCAAGTATCTTGACATTCCAATTCGCCATTTTCGCAGAAACATCTTTGTTCGCATCCCGTCAGTTCGATAGGTACTTCGCTCCAATTGGGCACACTGGAATAAATTTGTGCCTATCGTGACTAAACATTGATCATTTTAAAATAACTATAAAGAGCTATAGTATAACGTGTTGAGTTGAATTTAAAGAAAGGAAACTATATGCGTGCATACGCTAAATTAATTTTTCACTTGATCTATTCACCCTACACCTACATACACTGTTATGTCTCTTTTGTTAAATAACCGAACTACTGCCATAAAAGGCTTTTCTACCATAATTTCATTAGTATCAAATAAGCGCTTATTATACGATATGTCTATTGGCATAGCCTTCACTGATCTGGGGGCCAAAATAGAGAGTTTCATAAAAACATATTATTCATAATAATGATTATTTTTTCAAATTTTCATAGTTCCGGTTGCATATGATGTCGTTAGCATCCACCAATCACCACTAGACCCGCGTTTGGGTCATGGCCTAAACTTTCAATTCCATTCATATGGAAGGCCTTTGCGCCAGTAGCGGGGACCTTATCGGGTTTCTAGATGATTCATGTGCCGCAGCGCATCATACTCACGGCGTGCTCTTGTAGTGGCAGGTGCCATCGCTCAGTCAGCACGCGGCGCGCGGGCAGCAGAAGGGCTGGTCTCACCCCACGCAGCGTTTGGACACTAACTCATTTGTCACTAGTGGGGTAGTGTGGGGCATCACACTAACAGCGTGCCCTTGTAGTGGCAGGTGCCGTTGCTCAGACAGCGCGCGGCGCGCAGGCAGCAGGCGGGACACCAGCTCGTATGTCTCTAGTGGGGGATGTGTGGGGCATCATACTCACGGTGTGCCCTTGTAGTGGCAGGTCCCGTTGCTTCAACAGCGCGCAGGCAGCAGGCGGGACACCAGGTCGTATGTCTCTAGTGGGCGATGTGTGGGGCATCACACTAACAGCGTGCCCTTGTAGTGGCAGGTGCCGTTGCTTTAACAGCGCGCAGGCAGCAGGCGGGACACCAGCTCGTATGTCTCTAGTGGGGGATGTGTGGGGCATCATACTCACGGTGTGCCCTTGTAGTGGCAGGTGCCGTTGCTTCAACAGCGCGCAGGCAGCAGGCGGGACACCAGGTCGTATGTCTCTAGTGGGGGATGTGTGGGGCATCATACTCACGGTGTGCCCTTGTAGTGGCAGGTGCCGTTGCTCAGACAGCGCGCGGCGCGCGGGCAGCAGGCAGGACACCAGCACGTATGTCTCTAATGGGGGATGTGTGGGGCATCATACTAACGGCGTGCCCTTATAGTGGCAGGTGCCATTGCTCAGACAGCGCGCGGCGCGCGGGCAGCAGGCGGGACACCAGCGCGTATGTCTCTAGTGGGGGATGTGTGGGGCATCATACTAACGGCGTGCCCTTATAGTGGCAGGTGCCATTGCTCAGACAGCGCGCGGCGCGCGGGCAGCAGGCAGGCGGGTGCGCGGGGGGCGCGGGGGCCCACCGCACGCAGCCCTTGGACACCAGCACGTATGTCTCTAGTGGGGGATGTGTGGGGCATCATACTAACGGCGTGCCCTTATAGTGGCAGGTGCCATTGCTCAGACAGCGCGCGGCGCGCGGGCAGCAGGCAGGCGGGTGCGCGGGGGGCGCGGGGGCCCACCGCACGCAGCCCTTGGACACCAGCGCGTATGTCTCTAGTGGGGGATGTGTGGGGCATCATACTAACGGCGTGCCCTTATAGTGGCAGGTGCCATTGCTCAGACAGCGCGCGGCGCGCGGGCAGCAGGCAGGCGGGTGCGCGGGGGGCGCGGGGGCCCACCGCACGCAGCCCTTGGACACCAGCACGTATGTCTCTAGTGGGGGATGTGTGGGGCATCATACTAACGGCGTGCCCTTATAGTGGCAGGTGCCATTGCTCAGACAGCGCGCGGCGCGCGGGCAGCAGGCAGGCGGGTGCGCGGGGGGCGCGGGGGCCCACCGCACGCAGCCCTTGGACACCAGCACGTATGTCTCTAGTGGGGGATGTGTGGGGCATCATACTAACGGCGTGCCCTTATAGTGGCAGGTGCCATTGCTCAGACAGCGCGCGGCGCGCGGGCAGCAGGCAGGCGGGTGCGCGGGGGGCGCGGGGGCCCAGCGCACGCAGCCCTTGGACACCAGCACGTATGTCTCTAGTGGGGGATGTGTGGGGCATCATACTAACGGCGTGCCCTTATAATGGCAGGTGCCATTGCTCAGACAGCGCGCGGCGCGCGGGCAGCAGGCAGGCGGGTGCGCGGGGGGCGCGGGGGCCCACCGCACGCAGCCCTTGGACACCAGCTCGAGCCCCACGTGCGCGGGGCAGATCAGCGCCGCGCACTCACGCTCGTCCGGCCCCGTGCACTCGCATAGCTCCGTGCAGCCGATGTGGAACTCCTGGCCTGAGGATTACCAATTTCGCCCTTACAATGATACAGTTTGGAACAAACGCAGGATTTTAAGGCTTTTGCGGTTGGAGGAGTTTATTTTCAGTGACGGTGAGACAAATGCCTCAAACTGAAACTGCAAATGCGCCACCTAATAAATCGGGACCTGCGTCGCATGACATTTGACAGTGCGCGTGCCCAGAACGTTCTTTTCTGTGGCGCGTGCTACACGTTACTATGCTGCGAAACCGTTAATATCCACATGATACTTTAGCTCTTGGACACGGCGCAAAAAAAATTGTCGCTGTTAATGAAGCAAAATGCATATGCCAATTCAAGAAATGTATTTATGTGTATTAGAGATGGACCTATCGACTACCGAAACTAATTCATCTCGATCATCTATAAAATTCTTTAAAATTAAAAAAAAACCTATACTTTATTATTTCGGATGTTGAAAATTTTGAAACTAACTGGGCTATTAGATTTGTTTCGATGGTTTACAGTTAAATTGACTATGAAATATATAGAGCATACTTATTATAAAAATAATTCAAACTTCAATAAAAATATCATAATGTAAATTAGGAATACAGAGGGCCAAACACGAATTTTTATAGCTCCGTAATCGTATCGTTAACGTCATATTTTGTATGCAAAAAGCTATTTTCATTTTTTGTATTAAAAAGCGATAAAGCGTCCGATAGCGATAAGCTGCTTAGTTTTCACAGAAATTTTGACGATGCGATACAATTACGGAGCTGTCAAGAATTGTACTTGGGCTTCTGGTACTCAATAGGGTATTTGACAGTATTAAAAATAAAGTGCCAATTGTTAGCATCTGTGTTTAGAATGAATATTGACAGGGGTTTTTACTATTTTTACAAAAAAAATATTCATAATTTAACAAAAACCCACGAAAAATATAATAGTTTTCTTATCTATTGTCACGTGACCCAAAACGCTTGGGATTGGCGGAGCCTAAAATGACTTCACACGCAAGTAAACTTCCGGTAAAAGTGACATAACATTGTATCGTTTGACGTTTTAATAACAGTCGTGTGACGTCACACACTAGTAAGACGCCATATTGTCTAGAGAAACGTTATCGTGGCTACTTGAAAATGGAGTTTTCGATTTGGTTATTTTTACTGAAACAAAAAACATAACAGAATGATGAATATCCACTTTTTACGGACTCCATAAACATTAGTCAATAACGTGAGATCGTTTTCTAAAACTTGTCAAATACCCTATTATGTTGGTGATGAATGTGCATTGGTACTCGTACGTTTACATGTGGCTATTATTGCAGGTACTTACCGACAGCATAAAAGTTCCCATCGTGATAGCACCCGACTTTAGTTACGACGTCCTCATCCGCCACTTCGTTGGCCCCAGCGTCAGTTGTAGTGATAGTGAAATTAAATTTAGTTCCAGTCTCTCTAGTCTTCAGTACGTAGTCTTTGCCACCTTCCAAATTCAGTATTAGGTTAGAGTATTTCAGTTCTACATCTTTGAAAGTTTTTCCATTATCGCTGCTTAGCAGGAGATGAATTGGATCCTCTGTGTCGTTCATGTGTATAAGGTTCACTTGGACAGTGTTGTTTTGCAGGACTTTCACGGAGCCGATAGGTTCAGGTAACACAAGCGGTCTCATAGGCATTTTGGGCGGATTATCTTCTAATGAGCTTGGCATCTGTGTGAAAAAGTCAAGAGGTGGAATTAGTAAATTACTAGCGAACCCTTGTACTGTCTATAAAAAACTAAGAAAATAGAGTTGTAAGTAAAGTTTTCATAAACATATATTTTTTTATGTAACAAAAATTTTAAAATATATGGATGAAATCCGTAAAGTCACTCCGAAGTGATCAAGGGATATAGCAATTCAGATTTATACAGATAAAGAATCAAAATTGTCTTGATACTCTGTCGCCGCACACGGGCCACCGACCACAACCACAAAACGCCGCCACCGGCATATTTCATGTAGTTTTCATACATTTTATATGGACTCGCCACACACGATACGCCGGTGGCCGCCACACGCTACAAATCGTCGTTGCTCGCTTCTTGTGGTCCGCACCGGCCACTTAATGCGCCGATACAAAACGCCGCCACACGTCACTCGCGCAGTTCCCTACCCCTCTCTCCCTTACCTTAGTCGGCCGCTGTCGCGCCTTTCAGCCACTTTAGTAGCCGCTTCTAGCGTCTCATGGCGGCGTTTATGGCTGTGGCGTGTGGCCCGTGTGCGGCGACACTTACGATTACTATAGCGTCTAGCTGATGTAGACATTAAGAGTCAAAGACAAAAACTTCCCCTTACTATAGACATTTTCCTTACTTCCGTAGTAGTAGTGCTGGTGGAACTGGTGCCATTCTCGGGTTCCTCGTGGACGTCCTGAGAGACGTCGCACACTTGAACCTCGCAGCACACGTCACTGGGGTCCTGCACGCTGATGCACTTCTCTGACGGCGGGTGCCGTTCACACCTGAAACAAGCATCTTTATTAGCCAGACCTTTTTAATGGAGAATGAGTCATAACGCTAAATATTAAATATACCCCAGTATACTATAACAGAATCATACATTGAGGAGCTCGTAATCATAAATTTATTATCTCGAGCTCCTCCGTGCTTCGGAAGGCACGTTAAGCCGTTGGTCCCGGCTGCATCTGCAGTCGTTAGCACCCACCAATCCGCACTGGGCCCGCGTGGTGGGTCATGGCCCAATCTCCCTATTCCAACCATTGGGAAGGCCTGTGCCCCAGCAGTGGGCCATTAATAGGCTGATCATGATACTGTATCAAGCTTAATCGTTGGCGAGTTATTATTCGAAGCCCCTCTACCGATAACTACCATCTCAGGAGCCACTACGAGGTCTCATTTCATTCAGATTCTCCTTACCAACAACTGCAGATGTAGCCGGGACCAATGGCTTATTGTGTTCGAGCTCGAGAGAAGATATTTTTGGTTACCCATCCTTTGACTGCTTAATTTAGAAAAAATACTGATCATTGGGAATTCATAAAGAATGCACCTGAAACGCACTAACCACTGTATCATAGAGCACTTCTGCAACCTGAATTTATCATTTTGACTCCAAATTTTAGTATCGTGTATACGGTGTATGGTCGACGGCTCAGTTTTAATATGATTTTATCTATAAGAAGGTTCTTTCATAACGTACAAATCAATAGTCTAATACCATGAATCCTACTTAAGAACAATCTTATTGAATTAGATCAGAAATTAAGAAATTGTTGTCAATGTTAGGAACATCGTTATGTAAATACGTATATCGATGTAAATATTGTCACAAACGCTCTCGAACCAAAACTAAGAAAATACTAGAAACAGATTAAAGCAGAACGTTTCGGGTCGCGAAGTGAATGATCTCGATAAAGGTCGAATTCTGCGCTCAATTCAACCTTATGCAGTGCGGCGTAAGGTTAAAAGTGCAATGACATCTGCACTTGTTTACAACTCATGCGCGATACCTACTTATAACTAGGTAGGTACTACGTTCTCGCCGATGCTAATGAACTTTCAATTGAACTGGACTTTTCTGGAATGCGTCGATTTGCCACGCAGAGACAGTTGAATTTCAACAGCAATTTCGGGTCGAATCCAGAGGCGATCCAAATGTTCAAATGCGATTGTTATAAGACTTGTATGAGGTAGAGTGAGTGTAGTATTGTGTGTTTAAGAGAGAACTTTGTAAAGGACATTGCTCGTTCCCCATACATTGAATGCCCTAGAACGCCCAGCAATGAGAAAATGCTAGTTGTGTTCGGATTCATTCATTAACTCTAATTAGGCATTTGTTGAGATACGGACAACTTGAGGAACCGTGGCCTACTACAGAATGTATTAGATTTTGAGGTTATAATTATTATACTTAATCGTAAAAGATGTACACTTTTTATATTCTGAATAGATTTAGTGTTTACATCTATATAAGCACTTAAATAATATGCATTAAATGAACATAAAATGCAATTAATAATAAAAAAAATGCTTATATTCATATTGATTTATGAGTGTGGGCAGTTGGCACCTATGCTACCTATACCTACCTGTAGTAATAATAGATTTCTTTTCAAATGAAATGTTCAAAGTCTTTTCATTTACCTGTTTCTATATTTTACTATCGGTAATTAGGTATGTACCTGGTTATCATTATGATTTTCATCAAAATCAGATATTACATGGGATGGGAGTATAAACTATCTTTACATAATTTTAGAAATAATCTTTTTATAAATATAATATAAATACTAGTAATAAGTATTATTAACTAAGTTACCTTGTTCTATTTTTATGTTGATAAATACCAATGGTCGACTATATTGCATTTATTAAGGTAAACAATCTTGGCACAACTTTTTAACAGAATCACCCATTTAATAATAAAATATTAACAAAGCCAATAAACTATTAAAATAAATCGTTATTATAGACTGAAACCTATTGAATCCAGTTATCAGTTGATTTTTAATGCTGTATTTTCAATAAAAAGGAGTGCCAAGATTGTTTACCAAATCGGGACAAGTTGGATGAACAGACTGTAGTATCTAGTAACAGAACTTTTAATATTTTATTTTTTTAAACAGGTTGTCCGTTTACTATGATTAATTGCTAATAAGTTAAAAAAGTAATAGAAAAATTATAGTGAAGGACATTCTTTTGGGCATGCTAGGGCCGATTTCGTCGATGTCCTTTGTGGTGAATAAAGAAATGTTTAGCGTAGACTGCCATAATAATTTCGAACCCTATCCCGACACGTAACAATATCATCGCTTACCTAGGCTTACAGGTGACCACAGAATTCTTCTCGCAGTGGCAGGTCTGCTCGCAGCCGATGTGCCACTGAGCCCCTACGGGGTACGTGTCGTTACCGTACCGGCACACCTCTAGCTTAGTCGGCTTCACGTCTGTAAGTAACAACACTCAAAGTATTATTAAGACACATTTTTTTTAATAACACTAATATTATAAAGGCAAAAGTTAATGAGTCTGTGAGTGTATATGTTTGTAACTTCTTAACGGCTGGAGAGATTTTAATAAAATTTGGTATGGAGTTAGCTTACACCCTGAATTGACACATTGACTACATTTTATTACGGGGAAAATATTACGGGGGCACAACTAGTATTTATAATAAACATATTTAAGATTAATCAACGCCCAATATTGTTAATGTTATTATTAAATCAATCTTGATCGTCGAACGTTCAACACAAATTATTTACATATTATTCTTTAAATTATTTTAAGATTATATTAGAAAAATCCTTTCTGTTAAATAATCCACATTTATGTATGTTGCATATACATTATTACTACTCATGTAACAATTTTAATTACCACCGACTATTTCAGGGCGTACATGAGACTCGAAACTTATTTAATTTAAAATCAGGGCGCCGTGATACTGCGATTTGAGGGAGATAAATGAAAATGTCTAAAACAGCAGTGAACAAGATATTATATTGTTAAAAAGATTCAGATCTTATTTCATCATGGTTAAAACTTAATACTAGTCACATTCAAGTTAAAAATACATAGTTATATTTCTTCAAAGATTTTTCTTTTGATTTAAAGCTATTCAAACATTCAAGATCATGTGCTAATACAGTAATACTCAATTTAAGTTTCTTATATAAACAAATTATTAAACTAGTTATAAAATATTAAATTTTGAAAATCTAACAATAAAAATTTGTTATGTACTTATAATGGCTTTATAGTTTACTAATAGAAATCCTTTATCACGTTAAACAGAAATTGTTATCCGGAGTATGCACTGGTTAAATATCAAGAAGTTATAAGTTTTACTTAGCTTGGCAAGATCATGGGAGCATCAGGATCACTCAAATGTCCTCAGGGATGAAGCAGGACTTGCTGTCATCACGTGAACCCGTCACTTTTTTGCTCAAGGAAGCTTCACAGGCTCATATATATATATATATTTCCAAGGAGATTCCAATCAGGATTAAGTAAATGTGACTATTACTGTTATTTATTAGCCAAATTAATGGACCTAGAACCAATTACATATTTTTCTATAATTCAATAAAAAAAACTAACTGGACCTACAGCCTAACGAATCAAATGTATTGAACTTACCCGTTAATCCGGGGAGAAATATTAAGTATATAATGCACTGACTACCACTGCTAGTCTTAATGCTATTTTCTAAGTATGGTCTTCAAGGTTCTATCAGCCAAAAGAGAGCGAATCTGTTTGTGCACTGCTATTTATAGGCTACTACAACACGTGACAGCGTCATTGCAAATTTCTCTCATATCACCATATTTGGTATGAGGAAGCACACGGACCGGTTTTGCTGACTCCGCCTTTCAATGTTTCCAGAACATTAATGTGACGTCACATCCATTTCCGCATCTCATTCAAAAGAAATTGCACACTAGCTCCCTCTAACTTACATTCCAAATACAACTACTAGGTTCACACATATATTGTACTTGTCCATTGCTTTTCAAAGTGGATTTCGATATTGAATAATTTATATGCATGATGATAGATGGCGCTGAATAAATAATAATATTTCTACGACTTAATATTTAAGAATTATATTGCTAAGTTTTTAACGTTATTAAATTTAATTGCTACACAACATCCCCCTTATCTCAAAAAATTTTTCCCAAAAAAAATTTTTTTTTTTAATTAATTAACCTGCAACTGACTTACAGACAAATCAACAATACTAAGTATTAGCCAAGATAAAAAGTTTAAACTTATATACGTGAGTATCCATTTATTTACTCCACGTAATGTTCTAAACTCTAAGTCAATAGCAACAATTAAATATTTGCTGTTTAATGATTTTTCTTTTAGTTTCATGTAAATACCTTTCTTGGATCTAATATCCAGTGGTATAACATGGCTTTTTTTTCATCTTATGAACTTAAGGTAGTTAAGAAAACAACTCAAGATTAAAGAAGTTTGTATGTTTTCAAACTCAAAAGATTAAGATTATTTTCCAACAATCTTCCTATCTTTAATTATCAAGTCTAAAGTATATGTCCACTTCCTTATGCTTATGCCTTTCATACATCTTTACCTAATTTTCTATTCAGTTTTAAAATAAGTTGCACGCGTTAACTTTGGAAAATGCTTTTCATACTTCTCGCATCACATACTACTCTCATACTCATATGCATATCAGTAAACACTACTTGACGAAAATAATTTTATCAAAAAAAAATTTTTTTTTTTTTTTGTGTTAAAATATTAAAATGCATCGAAATATTATTTAAGTGTTCTTTTAAAAGTGAGAATTTAAGTTAAAAGGGTTGTCAATAAATATTTATTTAATTAAAAGGAAAAAAAATAATTTAATTTTCTGGCAGGTTTCGAACCGTAGCCCACAGATTTCCATATACACTTTTCCTATACTTCAACTCTTCTTAGCCAACCGATTAATACTGAAAGTGACCAAAATAAGCATCAAAAGGGATTCAAAGGTTTATTAATTTTTAAGTTTGTTAAAAAAAAAATTTAAGCTATCTTTACTAAGTTAACATTACATTAAAGCAAAAACATCTACGATCAAGATTGGACAAAGTATCAACTGGTGGTGACAATTAAGTGGTTACCACACCTTTAATAAATATTTATTCCTTTAGTGGGAAACAATTAAATATTTTCTCATCTTTTGGAACTAAATATTATTAAGTTAAATAATTTTCATTCCTCGGGTGAGCAGCAATCAAGTATCCGCTTACCTTTTGGAAGAAAGTATTATTAAGTGTAAACTTTTGTTCCTTGGGTGTGAAACGATTAAATATTTCCACACCTTTTGGAAAAATTGTCAAGTTTAAATTATTTAGCATTCCCTGGGTGAGTAGCAATTAAGAGTCCACTCCCCTTTTGGAAAATGCTATCAAATTTAAATTTATTTTTATTCCTTGGGTGGGCAGCAATTAAGTGTCTGCTTACCTTGTAAAAAAAATTATTATTAAGTTTTTACTAACTACAGCTATGCCTGTTGCTGACCGTATAGGGTGCAACATAACATATTTCTGAACTTATATGTTATTACAATTAAATACGTCTTCTAATTTCAAGTGTGTGGAAAAGGTTCAAATAAATCTCAACTACTAGTAAAAAAAAGTTTTAGATATGGGCTTGCCGTATTGACATGTTAATATTATTTCTTTTCTTAGAAATTACACATATTTATATACCAACCATCCTTCATTCCTTTGGTGAGAAACAATTAAATATTTCCTCACCTGGTGGAAAATACTAATAAGCTCCTGTAACTTTTTGCAAGTAAAAAAGTTACAAGTACCTTACCAATATCCAGAATGCAGGTAGATAAATATATCGTAATTAGGGAAAGTAATTGGAGGTATCAAAAATGTTAAGGTTAGGTTCAATATTAAAAAGTTCCATTGGAAATTAACGTTATGAATTAAGATTATTTTTAAGTATTTATCAAAATAATTATTAACTAACGACATTCTTAATAGTGTCTCAATATATATATTTTTAAATAAAAGTCAAGGTACTTGGTGAACACTAAACTAAACAGAGATAATTAAATAATCAATCGTAATTAATTTATGAATTGCATATATATTAAATATTTAAGATTTATTAAAAAATTTTACTTTAATAGAGAACTAATCGTCATAATTTGTTTTTTAAATCTATTTCAAAATCAGGAATATCAAAGTCTTCTCTCAAGTTAATTAATAGGTCAGAATATGAAGTAAAATTATCTTTATTACTTCTGTACCAAATTAAAGCAGAATCCTCTAAGAGGTCTGAAAATGAAGTTAGCATACGAGATTGCGGAATCTCGCGGGCGTGTCTAATTTCTTCCAATCTTTCTATAAAATTTCTAACGCAAGTAGAACCATCATATTTTAAGTTAAATGAGTTTAAATTAATGCGTCTATCTTTAATTAAGTACACCTTCCTCCTTTCGTTCATCTCGCTCGTTATCTCACACTCGGGAGTTGCCTCTTTACTACTTAATTCGTCTGAACTACTTTCATCTTCCTGTTCTACTTGAGCTAAGATACGTATGAGCCTGTGGCGCAAATCCACAAGAGAAGCTTTGTCAACCTCCAATCGAGCAAGTCTATCGATTAGATAATTAGCCCTAACTGACACACGTAAGTGGAGATTACTGTCCTTTCCGAGGTCACCTGATGACAGCAGATCCTCGAGCTCAGCAATTTTCGGCGTACATGCCTTGAGCTCGCTTGCCGGGAGTGGTGTGATCACTGGAGCACACTTGATGCTGCCACGTCTCTTCAGCTTAAAAATTTGGCGAAGCTGCTTTCTCAGTGCATCCACCGATGTGTCAGGAGCTGTGGAAATGCCAAGAATATCCAATTCATATATGATTTCATCCTTTCTTAAGTAGTTTACATATTTTTGTATAGAGAGCATTTTCTCAGATTTTTTCAAGTTAAAGTCAGTTATTTCTGTTACTAAGTTAATTATTAAGTTAATTATTAAATTACGTTTAATCAAGTTTTTAAATCAAGCTACTTATTCAAGTTATTTAATCTAAGAAAGTTAAATACAAAGGAATTTATAAAAATTTTTTTTTTGAAGGAGGGTACTTTTATTATTACAAGTTTCAATTCTTAAAGACTATCTTGTTCACTGTTCAAGGTCAATTTTTTTTACGCATCCAATCAATACGAAAGTGTTATTGTAGTATAAGTTGATTAATTCTAATGTGCTAAGTTAATTAATGCTAGTGTGTTTATTAAAGTTTTCTAAGTTATTAAGTAATTTACTTCTAATGTGCTAAGTTAATTAATGCTAGTGTGTTTATTAAAGTTTTCTAAGTTATTAAGTAATTTACTTCTAATGTGCTATTCAGACTGATTGGGGATTTTAAGCATTAAATTTTTCCACCAATCTTTTTATCATCATATTAACACATTAGTACAAATTCTGAATATTAATGATTTTTAAGTTAAATTTTTTTTTGATTAGATGTTAAATTCTAGTGTGCCGTTCAGACTGATTGGGGATTTAAGCATTTATTTTTCCGCCAACCTTTTTATCATCATATCAGCACACCAGTATTTCCCTCAAATACAGTATTTTATTGCTCGGCCCTAAAGTTGGTCGCCATTTTGTAACAATTTTAGTTACCACCGACTATTTCAGGGCGTACATGAGACTCGAAACTTATTTAATTTAAAATCAGGGCGCCGTGATACTGCGATTTGAGGGAGATAAATGAAAATGTCTAAAACAGCAGTGAACAAGATATTATATTGTTAAAAAGATTCAGATCTTATTTCATCATGGTTAAAACTTAATACTAGTCACATTCAAGTTAAAAATACATAGTTATATTTCTTCAAAGATTTTTCTTTTGATTTAAAGCTATTCAAACATTCAAGATCATGTGCTAATACAGTAATACTCAATTTAAGTTTCTTATATAAACAAATTATTAAACTAGTTATAAAATATTAAATTTTGAAAATCTAACAATAAAAATTTGTTATGTACTTATAATGGCTTTATAGTTTACTAATAGAAATCCTTTATCACGTTAAACAGAAATTGTTATCCGGAGTATGCACTGGTTAAATATCAAGAAGTTATAAGTTTTACTTAGCTTGGCAAGATCATGGGAGCATCAGGATCACTCAAATGTCCTCAGGGATGAAGCAGGACTTGCTGTCATCACGTGAACCCGTCACTTTTTTGCTCAAGGAAGCTTCACAGGCTCATATATATATATATATTTCCAAGGAGATTCCAATCAGGATTAAGTAAATGTGACTATTACTGTTATTTATTAGCCAAATTAATGGACCTAGAACCAATTACATATTTTTCTATAATTCAATAAAAAAAACTAACTGGACCTACAGCCTAACGAATCAAATGTATTGAACTTACCCGTTAATCCGGGGAGAAATATTAAGTATATAATGCACTGACTACCACTGCTAGTCTTAATGCTATTTTCTAAGTATGGTCTTCAAGGTTCTATCAGCCAAAAGAGAGCGAATCTGTTTGTGCACTGCTATTTATAGGCTACTACAACACGTGACAGCGTCATTGCAAATTTCTCTCATATCACCATATTTGGTATGAGGAAGCACACGGACCGGTTTTGCTGACTCCGCCTTTCAATGTTTCCAGAACATTAATGTGACGTCACATCCATTTCCGCATCTCATTCAAAAGAAATTGCACACTAGCTCCCTCTAACTTACATTCCAAATACAACTACTAGGTTCACACATATATTGTACTTGTCCATTGCTTTTCAAAGTGGATTTCGATATTGAATAATTTATATGCATGATGATAGATGGCGCTGAATAAATAATAATATTTCTACGACTTAATATTTAAGAATTATATTGCTAAGTTTTTAACGTTATTAAATTTAATTGCTACACTCATTATAGTCTCATTACTTATTCGTTACTTTAGAATTTAAAGTGCAAAAAGTTGAGATAGTAACATCCTAAAGTAATCTACTCAGATCTTATACTCTATTCAACTAAATAGGTCGAATTTTATATGCTAAAAATCATAATTAAAAAAGTTACACTCAAATGACCTAGAACTATAAGTATTCCCAAACTTTTACCCGGGTTATAATCTCTTATCTATTAGACAAGTCCGTCCGTCCGTCTGTCCGTGGTGCTGTTTCAGCGGCCAAACCGTAAGAGATAGATGTAGAGAATGTTTAAGTTATAAGTTAAGAATAGTCTGATAAGACTACAAACCGGATGTGAGTAACGTAGCACTTCCGGTTTTCGTGAAATCACGTGATTTCTATTTCAAACGAAACCACACAAAATCTCCGAAGTTCTCAATTAATTAAATACTTTTTTTTTTGTTTTTTTTTTTGGTGAACATTTGGTTCACTGGTTTGCTAGTTCTACTAAATTCAAGAGTAGTGGTGATAAATCATATATATAATTTACGTTGAAATGTGTAGTTTTTTTAACCAGTCTGGTTACATCGGCTATCTTTACTCTTGATGAATAAGGGTGAGAAACATTGATTTATTTGTTTACCTTTTGTCTCAGAGGAGGTTGAACAGAGTATCTCTTATCTATTAGACAAGTCCGTCGGTCCGTCTGTGGTGCTGTTTCAGCGGCCAAACCGTAAGAGATAGATAAAGAGAATATTTAAGTTATAAGTTAAGAATAGTCTGATAAGACTACAAACCGGATTTGAGTAACGTAGCACTTCCGGTTTTCGAGAAATCACGAATTTCAAACGAAACCACACAAAATCTCCGAAGTTCTCAATTAATTAAATACATTTTTTTTTAGGTTTTGGTGAACATTTGGTTCACTGGTTTGCTAGTAAGATTACTAACCTCCGTTGCCGGTAGCACAGGCGATGATGGAGCAGCACTCGTCTAGCGGTGATTCGAAGCAGAGTGGGTCGTTGAGCCTGCGCCCTCTACGGATGTAAGGGTGCTTGCAGCGGGGCGAACACTCAAACAAGCCCCCCTGCATGCACTCACAGCTCTCCTCGCAGCCGCGGTCTATTTTCTCACCAACCTTAATAATAAATAAATATTTCCAACCTCCAATTACAGTTTCCAATACTTACACCTATTAGCCTAGCCTCAAAGCACTGAAATGCATGTGTTATGGGATACTAGGTTAACAGATAAAATACATTTTTGTTTCTTAGGTCTTCACGCACATCACTCATTAAATAAAACTAGTTTTAACGTGTTAATGCACGAAACTTTATTTATTTATTGACGTTTCGCAGCCTTTTCAGGTCTGCTTCGTCAGAATGATTTTTTTAATAATAAAAAAATCATTCCATTCCATCATTCAAAACCATTCATTAGTGTCCTATAACACATGCATTGCTGACGAAGCAGACCTGAAAAGGCTGCGAAACGTCAATAAATAAATAAAGTTTCGTGCATTAACCCGTTAAAACAAGTTTTATTTAGATAAAATACATACACTAATACATATATAAGTACATTTTATGTAGAGCATGACTAAGGCATATAAACATCCATGACTAAGGTACAAAAGCCGGGATTCGAACCCGGGACCTCACGAGTAGGTGACACCTTGAAACGTCTATACCACTCGGCTACGGAGGTCGCCTTAACAGGAATCAAGGACATAAATATAAGAGAACACATCACAAACATCACACTGAGATTGACAGCAAAGGATATCGCAAAAGCACTCGTAATATGGACATCAAAAACAATAAGTACAAAAATTATCAAGACTACAAAATAAGATTTGGGGATTATAAAAATGCAACCCACCCACTGAGAGATCACATATTTGCTGCACAACTTCAACTCTATTATTACTTTCTAATTTAAATGGATTTGCAATAAAATCTTTGAATGGACAGACGATTAACTACAGTTACTTTACTGTTTTTGCCATTGTGAAATACAAAGCAATCATTGTTATACAAGATGTATAACGATAAACAGTTAAAAACTTTAATCTAGTTATTTATTCGTATGAATAAATGACCCACCTTGTAAGTAATTTCGTTTTCTTTACAAACTTCAACTTCACCTGATCCCCTATCAATTCCCAATAAAGGATGAAAAGGGGCTTCCAAATTCGTATAAAACTTGTCCGAAATCTGTTTTGGCTTTGTATCGTGAACCATCTTAGGATCATCATCTTCGTCATCATCCAGATTTACATCACTAAGATCCGTCAAAGGTTTCTTTTGACTTTTGTGAATAGTTTGATTGTGCAATGCGTTAGCAAACGTTTGTAATTCGTCTATATTTAAATTGAGCAATCTTGGTTGCGGTTTGTGTGATTCTGTGACATCTTGAACTTCCTCAGTTGTCGTTTCTGGTCGTTCTGTCGTTTTCTCCGTTGCCTTTTCTGTTGTTGGCGTGGATCGTGTAGGTGCTAATGTTGTTGTTGTCGCATCGGTTGTGCTTTCCACATTGGTAAGTGACGGTGATCCTCTCTGGGTTAGTAGTTCATCATCTTCCGCGGTTAATTTACCTGTAAGCAAAAAAATTGACAATTAGTAAAAAATATTTAGTTATACCCTATATATAAATATACCTAAAAATTATAATGGAACAACATTATGACGACCTCCGTGTCCGAGTGGTTTGTACTCCGGTTTCATGGTGACTCGAGAGGTCCCGGGTTCAAATCCCGGTGGGGGCAAATGTTTGTGTGATGAACACGAGCATTTGTACTCCAGTCATGGATGTTTAATATGTATTTCTAAAGCAAAGGCTACGAAACGTCAATAAATAAATAAAGTTTCACGCATTAACCCGTAAAAACTAGTTTTATTTAATGAGTGATGTGCGTGAAAACCTAAGAAACAAATATGTATTTCTATATAAATATACTTATAATGTACTGTATATGTATTCTATCCGTTACCCTAGCATCTCATAACACAAGCCTTACAGTGCTTACTTTGGGCTAGGCTAATTGGTGTGAGTGTTGGAAATATTATTATTATTAACTAGGTCCTTAAAAAAACATTGAGTCATGAGAATCATAGAAAAACTTTATACTTTGAAATCCTATGCAATTCGCAGAACGAAAGAGCTGTTGTATTTACAGCGTAAATTTTTCCGGAAAAGAAAATATACCTTCTTACTTATATGATTGGGAACGGACATACCACGATGCGAAAAACATCAGTTACCAGAACCTGCTCCCTCGGAAGTAGACCAAGGTCAGTAGGTGAAACGAGACGAGAGTCTCTGACACGCAGTCGCTAACCATCTCTTTCTAAACCTTCCAACAGTTCCAATCGATTGTCACGCTCCACAAATCGATCTCATCAAACGGATCAATGTCCCGAATCGATGAAAATCAATATAACCGCCGAATAGTAATCTTCTATTGGCGAAACAAGTGAACTTTTTCTAGTTCGTCAAAACATTTTGAACTTTATGCCGTTTTGATTGAAGCTTATATTGGATTTAGCGATAATTTTGTTTTGGTGTTCCTATCGAATTCCTATAATAAAATTTATGATGATCAATAAGATTACAAGACAATGCGATTGTTGTAATCGTGAGAAAGTATTTTCAATTCCGTAGTGATAAATGATAGAGGTTTAAAATTCCTCTATAGTAATTTGATGCGTAAAATTTATCTGCACTCGGGATTTCTCTCGGTTTTGTTCTATGGTAAAACGATGTTATAATAATCGTAGTGCGTGGTCTAATTTCTTAACTAGTAATCAAGGATACATTGAACAAAATTGCAGAAAATTGTAATCAATGAACAATCTCTCTTACAGGTGCATGTTAGGCAGCGGGTGTGCTAAATAGAGTTGCCAGATGCTGGCTTATCAATTCCGGGACATTTGCACCCCCCCCCCCCCCCTTGAAAAAATAAAACTTCATATCAAACCCCCCATCACCGTCACCATCCATCATCCCCCAGACTTAAAATATCCATTACAGACCCACCATACCCCTAGCCATACCCCTGGGGGTAGGGTAGGGCTGAACCATACCACCGTTGTAGTGCTGGAATTTTATGGAAAAATAGAATAAAAATAGATACCTAACAGATACAAATATTTAGTTTATTAAAAAAAAACGAAATCCGTTCTGGCAAAACCTAAAAATATAACAAATACTTATTTTGTTATTTATCTTAAACAGAAAAACTTAAAGATGTTAATCTATGTTCTTAATTTGTCTAACGCATGCCCAATGGTGATTTCGTTGTGCACTAACTGCATTTACTACGTACAAGAGGATACTTGAAATAAATACACGATAAGATTATTATTGAGAACAATCAAATAATAAAAATGAATTATAAGTACATATTTATACTATGTCGTGTGGGATGCTATTGACACCAGGTACCTACGTAATATTCGGTGAAACAAAACCTGAAAACATATAGTGCACAGCACTACGGTGGTATGGTTCAGTCCCACCCTACCCCTGGGGGTATGGCTAGGGGTATGGTGGGTCTGTCATGAAAATATCAAGCAGGCCAGCAGTGTCATTCGTTATTAGTTTACCTTGTGCCGGCACGTCATGTGGCTAATCGTGTTTGCTATTTGGTAGATGTGTATCCACAACGGGCAGTGAGAGGAAGGGACTGCTATCGAGGCGGATGCGATTGGCCATGTGAAGTTCCGGCATAACAGGCCCTGCCAGAATACCAGCGCTACTGTGACATGTTTTGTAGCGTGTTGCGGCAGCATTACGCTGAGGCAGGGTCCTGATTGACCACAAATGGTACTATATTTTTTTTCTTTACTCCGTTATGTATATTTTCATATTTTTTTTGTATGTTGTTTTGTAAATTTATTAATGTGGTCAATAAAAATGATTCTCTCTCTCTCCCTCTCTCATTTTGTTTCGAAACTAGCCAAGGGAACTAGGGAAAAGACGCAAAATTCCGGGACAATCCCGGAGTGCCTGGCCATCTGGCAAGCCTAGTGGTAAAAGTAGTATTTTAGTTTAATCAATTGAAAATTTAAGTGGACACTTGCGAATTTTGTCTCGGTAAATATTGCGATAGTTTGTATATTTCAGTATTGATATATATTTGTATAATCAAACTTCACAATAAAAGTTTGATTCTGATGACGTAGCCTGTAAAGGCTACGAAACGTCAATAAATAAATAAATTTTCGTGCATTAACCCGTAAAAACTAGTTTTATTTAATGAGTGATGTGCGTCAAAACCTAAGAATTTGTTTGATATTATGTAGAATGAATTCATTGTTCAATATTTGGTTATTTTGTGACAAAACCGAAAGTTATACTTTAATAATTAAATATTAAATAATATTTAATTTATATAATAATTTAAATAATTAATTAAATAAATAATTTTTTTTTTATTTAATTAATTTTTTTTTTAATTTTTAAGCATACAACTGCTAGATGTTTAAATGTAAAGAACATTGTAGTAGAAAAATGGTTAGCGTGGATTTTTTCTAGTAAAATTTTCTTTAGATTAAAACCTACTGTAAGGTCATACTTAATATTAATCTATGGTACACATGAAAAGGCTATTTATAAATGGCAACTCTAGGGGTGATCTGTGAACTGTGCTTTGGAACTTAATGTAAAATTTAAAATTAAATCAATTAAAATCATATAAATCAAAAAGAATAATTGTGTCTCTTATTATGCACTGAACCTGTACACCTACTTCTTACTTGACTGATATTTTCCTTTTCCGTTTTTTTTTTATTGCACGCTGGTGTGCTAAACACACATCATGTGACATTAAATCTTGACACGTTCTCTAGTTCGTAAGACACCATTAAATTAAACTATCAGCAAATAGTTCACAAGGTCAGCCACACACTCAACTGACTATTGTAAATAATTGCAACCACACATTCAGAGAGTGGAGTTGTTCATATTCAGACCTCACGACCATAAAGGTACAGCAATCAAGTGTAATCAATTACAAAGTCACGACTTTACATACAAACACCTAAGTTGTTTATCTCTACTTAATTTGGTATAAATCTTACCAACTTAATCATAATATAAAGTCTCAGAAACTGGCTAAAATTAATCAATATTGACGATCTCCATGGCCGAGTGGTTTGTACTCCGAGTTTCAAGGTGTCGCCAACTCGAGAGGTCTGTGTGATGAATACGAGCATTTGTACTCCAGTCATGGATGTTTAGTGTATATTTGTTGATGTTTATATAAATATACTTATATATGTGGAGCTCGATGGCGCAGGTGGCTGGTGGTGTTCGGCTGCGATCGTTGAAGTTAAGCAACATTCGCAGTGGTCGGTCATTGGATGGGTGACCAAAAATTTACTATCTCCTCCGTGCTTCGGAAGGCACGTTAAGCCGTTGGTCCCGGCTGCATTTGCAGTCGTTAGCACCCACCAATCCGCACTGGGCCCGCGTGGGGGGTCATGGCCCAATCTCCCTATTCCATCCATAGGGAAGGCCTGTGCCCCATCAGTGGGGACATTAATAGGCTGATGATGATGATGACTTATATATGTACAGTATGTGTATTCTATCCGTTACCCTTGTATCCCATATGACAAGCCTACAGTACTTACTTTGGGGCTAGGCTAATTACGAAAGAAAGTGATGCAGAAGGGAGGGCATTCCTCATTACCCTCAGTAATGAGGAATGCGACTCAAGGAGAAAACATGAATTAAAACGTGTATTCATATTGTAAATATACTTACATAATAAAATAATTACCTATCTTAAAAAGTTTTCGACTTCAAGGTAACTCTTAACTCACTTATTGCAATTCATAATGTTACAACAGGTGTTTAAGATATTCACAGATCAGAATAAGGACTCTGCTATCTAAGAAATACTAATTTCATTTTTATTATGATATTTCAAACAAAATGCATACCTATTTCAAATAAAATCAATACCTGTAATATAAGTTATTTACGAGATTGTTACGATTACCTTGTTTTTAGCGAGTTTCCGATATTTCGGCACTGTTGCAAGCGCCATGATCACGGAGTTACTCCGGTACATGGTAACAATCCCGTAAATAACTTATATTACTATAATGTTAGTGAGCATGAAAGTTTAAACAATATAAAATCAATACCTCAATCAAAACAATCAAATACAAATACTTAATGAAAATAAATTCAAATCATTACGTATAAGTGAACCGTAGCCGCCTTCTCCAATAGGACTGACATTCATTATAGGCGCAAACATTACATCAATATTGACTATGCATTTATAGTTTCAGTCTCCCAACGACCTTGCACAGGTTTATATGTGGGTAAAGGACGACGCAATGGCGGGGCAAGACCTAAATTTGATGCGGGCAAGACAGATTTCGCGAGGCCCTGTGCTGTGGCGACCTGAAGACAGATTTAATAAAATAATAATAAAAAAAAAGAAATTCGCTTTTAAGCAATGCATAAAATTTTTTGAGGCGCGAGGCCCCTTGTACCGCGTGGCCGTAGGCGGTGGCCCACGTCGCCCACGCCTTACGCTGCCTCTGGGACGACGCGTCGCGGTCAGGCACAAACTAA